GGTGTGACCGAAATATTCAGTCCATCGTGTATCAAATCCCTTTTTTTAACTTACCTTTATACAAGATTAAACTCCAGGAAAAAACAATATGCAAAAACATGTCGTCAGTTATAGTCTTTCATTGGATATAAATTACAGCCGGATTTTAAGTCACATTTGCCGGTATGTTTAATTCTTATAACTATTACTAATTTATCTCTCTCTGGATTAATACATCCTTGTTTCTCTCAATAGTGTTCAGATTTTTTTAATATCGATATGACTAGGTAAAGTTATTAGTCTATAAGAATATAGAGGCTTCTCCCTCCAAATCTATAAGGATTTTCGGTAATTTCACAGAACATCTGAAGTATACCTTAGCAATCTCAGTAATTTCCTCTCTATACATTAAGAATTGCTAAAATTAGCTACATAGTATCTTTTCTTATATTGTTAATTTCAGAAATCTGAGCATACACTTCATATCTATATATTTATTTCACAAATAATTAGATTATATTTCATTTATTCTATTGAAATAATCCTATGAATATATATATTCATGTATGAACAAGAAAATCAAAATGTTTTATTTTTCTTACCCATTGAAGTGATCCAGTAAATGAAATGTTTCAAGAAACGTCCAAATTAATACGAAATAAATAGTAACATATCTGTAAAGAGACATGAAAATCATCGCTACTAAGACTTGCAATATCATACATGAATTTAACATTAATAAAACATCAGAACAACATTGATATTGACGAATGACACCATGTTATTAAAAAATGACATAGATAGTAGAAAAAAAAACAAAGTAAACCATAGATTTTTGTTTTTGTCTATTACCGAGATCAATAATTCTAGCACTCAGATCTGCGAATTTTCAGTGAGAACCTGCAGGAATCTGGTGATTTACACTCGGAACTGGATAAATTCAATTATCGAATTCATGCTTCCAACTTCCTACCGCTTCCCGGTCGAAATCTTTGACTATTCATTTCAACTGCATAAAACTACTTTTTTTCATATTCTCTATTGAATGATATTGTTGCTGATATGTTTACCTTGAAAAGCAAAGTCACTGAAAATCTCTATAGTTATTATAGAATTGCAATAC